GGGGGCTCCACTTCCAGGCTCCGGGCTTTGGAGCCGAGAAACTGGGCGCAGGACGCCGGTGGGAGGGAAAGCTCAGCAAATTCGGGCTCCAGCTCCGCTTTTTGCTGTGATCCAGGCCGCATTTTCCCTCGCGCTCTAGGACGGGGCGGAGTCCCGAGGCGCCTGGTAAACGTGCCGAGGACTCAGCGTGGTGCGTGCTCGTGCGCTCAGCGCGGATTGGCCGCTCGGAGCGGCGCGGGGGTTGGCGGGAGATTCGCGGGTCCGCGGGCTGGGAGAGCGGTTGCGGCGGGGACATGGCCTCTCGGTGGCGGGTGCGGGCGTCGCGAGGCGCGGGGTGAGTGGGGCGGTCGTGGGGCGCGGGCCGCGGGCCGGTTCTGTCTCCTTCCCGTCCTGCCGCGGTTTGGGCCTCTCGCAGCTGTGCTGCGTAGCGAGGCGCCCCGGCGCCGCCACTGCGTTAGTTTCTCCGTGTGACTCGGGGCCTCGGTTTTCCCGTCTGTAAAATGGGAATAATAACCCCAACCTTTCAGGATTCCCGCGAGCCTTATAGGAGTTACAGTTTAAAACTGCCGAGCGCGCAGGAAAGAATGTGAGCTGGTGTTAGCGTTCCCCTGGGTGGGTGAGTGGAGTCTAAAGTAGTGCCAAGACAGTTTGAAACAAAATGTCCAACAAGTACTTATTGAGGGACTGCGCCTTGCCCGATTTTTCATTCTCACGACGTGTACTCTGGCGGGTAGTCAGTGTCCTCAAGCCCTTGCTGTCTTTGTAACAAACCACAGCCCTGAAAGCTGAACCGGATCGCGGCGGGATGGGGGTGGAGGGTCGACGAAGCTGCCGCTCGTTACTCCTGAAAGGGGCCCTCCAACTAAAAGACATCTTTCGTTAAAGTGTAGTTGGCATAGGACATACTAGTTTGACGTGTACAATACAGTGATTTGACGTTTATGTACTGGGGATGTGATTATTACCGTAAGTCCAATAGCCATCTTAATTTTAATCAAAAAGGGCATGCACTTAAAAATAGGCTGCAGAACTGCGTTCTAACATATTCGTGGATTTATTGGCAAATGTCTGGCTGGCGGTGCCTGGAGCGCCTTTGAAGGCCCGGCCTGCTGCTGCCTAGAGGGGCCTGGGCTTGCTGCGGTGGCGAACAAGGTGAGACCGAGGAGTTCCACCGGCTGTGGGAAGGCTGCCTGGAGAAGGTGCCTTCGTAGCTGTGGGTCGCGGGTGGAAGGCGAGCCACGCAGAGCCGAGGGAAAGGCTGGAGCAAAACAGAGCAGGGAGGTGGAATAAACGGAGACTGTGCCCCGTGGGGAAGAGCCAAGACTCCTCCGATTGAAGACAGGGATTGGAAAAAATATACGGGGGCCTAAAGGGCAGCAGGCCAGGGTCGATTTGATTTGATAGGCCAGTGGTCAGTGTCTCCCCACCTCTCTTTCTCACTCACTCTCACTCATATAACATTTTATTTGTATGTAATATATAACTTTTATTTATATATTACATATAACATATTTTATGTGTTTATATATAAACATTTTTACCTTAGAGACTCACAAAATCTGTTCATTCCTCCTAAAATGCACTGGTGAGCATGCACCAAATTTTTACATATGGTATCACAGAGGTTTCCATATGGTATCACAGAGGTTTCCATCTTTTGGGAGCCCCCCCCCCCAGCCTAAGAAAAGAAGGGAACATTTTTAAAAAATTTTTTTTTTTAAAGCACGGTCAAGGTAAGAGACAGTGGAAAGAGTTTAGGGTAAGAAGCTATGCATCTGGCTTTTAGTTCTGTTTCTGTTACTTGCCTGTTGTGACCATTGGTGAGTTAATAAGTCACTTAACTCTTCTGCACCCTGAAGTCATAAATGTCATAAAGTAGATACCTGTTCTGTTGTCTTTGGGTCTGAGAATCAAAACAGTGTTTCTCCAAGTGGAGTTCCTTGACCGGCAGCATGGGCAGCACCAGGAACTTGTCACAGATGCAAACCTCAGACCCCATCCCAGGCTTAATGAATCAGACACTCTGGGGTGGGGCCTAGCAACCTGTTCTAACAAGCCCTCCGGGTGATTCTGATGCTGGAAGTTTGAGAACCACAGCTTTAAACAGTTTTGCAGCTGCTTGTTCACTGCTGTTAACCATTAGGATGTTTTAACGTCACAATTAGTACACACACGTGCACATATATAACAGTAGGTTTATGAACCTACTATGCCCAGTGCAATCTTATATTCTCCTGTGTGTCCTTTTTAAAAATGTTGGGAAGCCCAGCTGGGCATGGCTCAGCGGCTGAGTGTCCACCTAGAATCCAGGAGATTCCCGGTCAGGGCACATGCCCGGGTTTCGGGCTTGATTCCCAGTAGGGGGCATGCAGGAGGCAGCTGGTCAGTGACGACTCTCTCATCATTGCTATTTCTCTCTCTCTCCCTCTCCTTTCCTCTCTCTGAAATCAATAAAGATATATTTTAAAAAAATTAAAATTCTGGGGGAAACACCTTAAATGACATTATGGGACAGATGATGATATTTGGATATAGATTGTGGATTAGATGATTGTTAAATTTCTTGATATGGAAATTATACTATGAGTAGGCCCTTTCCTAGGAAAGACACACAGATGCAAAGGTAAAGGTGCACAGTGTCTCCAGTTTACCCTACACACACACACACACGCACGCACGCACGCACGCACGTGCGCGAAGCAAAGGAGACACAACAAGTGTGAACCTGGGCAGTGGGTATACAGACGTCCTTACACTGTTCTTGTCACTTTCCTGGAAGTTTGAAGTTACATCAAATAAAAAGTTACCCAAAGAAACACTGGCTCAGACACACTAAACTGAGTTTGCTCTTCCCGAGTGGGTGTCTGCACAGCATGTCTGCAAGTCAGGGCACCCTGTGCCCCGAACAGCGCCTGGTGCACAGAAGACCCTTGGCACATGCTCACGGACAACACTATTTCCAGTTTTTATTCCAGTCACTGTTGTTCCATCTGTTAACTTACAGGTTGTTGAAGATACGTAGCTTTTCCCTTTTATCCTAATGCCCAGTGCAGAGAGGTAGAAGGGTTGGCTCTGGGTTTGTACGGATGCAGATTTTAATGCAGGCTTCTGTCCTGCCTGCCGTGTTGCTTTGGGGAAATACACATGTGTAGCCTGGGATTCACTTCTGCCTCAGAACTGTTGGAGTTAAGTGAGAAGATGTAGGGACAAGAGCCAGACACAGGATGGAATGGGTGTCAGGTGCTTAGTAAATGCTAGTGTCCCTCCCTTTTGCTCAATTATACTATTGATTGGGACTTTGAGAACAAGAGTTACAGCAGGACAGGGAGTTTTCCATGTTCCTGAGGGGAAATGGATGCTATTTTATACATAGGTAATACCATTTGACCTATAAAAATACAACTTGTGAGATATGGGCTCTGCTTTCTAAAACGATTTGCCATAACCTGAGCTTCATTGGGTGCACACCATCAATGTAAGTAATGAGGACTATAATCTGGAAAGAAAATGCTGGGAAAGGGTTGCAAGTTACGATGGTTTCCCCAGTTATTTTTAAAATATTTCCTAACTTTTTTGTGTGTTTTTTGCTGTTTAATAGTGGGAGATATTCAAAGAACACTGCAGGAAGAACACATGCCATAAAAGATGTAAGTTATCTTTTTACATTTTAATGTGATTTTCTCATAATTGACAATACAAAGTAACTGCCATTTGGCGGGAGCCTGAGTTTCAGGGACTTCACTGAGTGAGCTCAGTGTTTGTTGTAGTGACTGAGTGTGTTCCTCCGCCTCCCGCTTTTTCCAGTATAATGGAGAAAGTTGTCAATGCTTTGAATCTTTTCCCCTGGACCTAGCTCGGTTTTAGTTTCATCTGGATAACAGACACTATTTAAAATAGTACAGCTTTCTGTATGTTGCTATTTTAAAAGTATTATTATAGTTTTAAGTAATTATGATTTCACAATACTGCACTTAGTCTACATTATAGTTTTACTTTAGGGGAGGGTCTTAGAATAAGTCTGTGTTAAAAGCAGGGACATTTCTTTAACACTCTTGATAGCTAATTTCAGATTACTTTCCAGGGTTTCTCCACTTGGCTTTGGCAGTTCACATTAAGACGTAGAAATGGTGTAGGTGGGTGCCTGCTTTCAGGATGCCCGGTCAGGGAGTCCTCTCTGCTCTCTGTTGTGCCCTGGCTGGCTGGCTCGTGTGGTCACTCCTGCCCGCTGCCCTAACTCCCTAAGGCGAGCGGCTCTTCTTCCCGGGACTCTCCTGCAGGGGTCACTCCGCTGTGCGCTCCTGCCAGCCCTGGGGTGCTTCCTCCCTGGAGGGGTTTCTCTGAGCCCTCCGTGCTGCTCCCAACTCTCTTCAGCCAGAGTCCAGCGTGCCTGGGCTGGATTTCTTTAGCTCTCCCGCCCTCCCCCTGGTGGAAGGCGGCTGTGTGCTGGGGCCCATTTGCCTCAGGAGGGTGGAGGAGCTGTTGGTGCCTCTTCTTGGACGGTCCACCCCAAACACTCCAAGAATAATTTTCAGTGGGGGTCTGTTAGTGGTAAAGTTTTTGTTTTCTCCCATCTTCTTTATATCTTCCTGAATTTCCTCATCTGTTTTCCAGAGCTACTATGGAAGTTTTTCCTATTTTCTCTAGGTTTTGGTCTTTCATGAGGATTTGGGGTGGCAAACTTCATGGGGCTTATTAGTACATTGAACCGCAAACCCTGGTCTCTCTGCTTCAACCTTGTCTATCCTCAGAACAGTTGATGACCTTTCAGACCTGTGGGCCTATTTCTGGGCAGAGGCCCATCACTTTCCATAGATCAGGAGTTGGCAAACTGTGGCCCCTGGGCCCAGTCGAGCCTGCCCCCTGCTTTTGTACAGCCCTGAAAGCTAAGAATGGTTTTTACATTTTTTAAATGGTTGAAATAAAATCAAAAGAAAAATATCCCATGACATGGGAAAATGGTGTGAAATTCAGATTTCAGTCCATAAGTAAAGTTCTATCTCAGAGCAGTCATCTGTGCGCTTTCACGCGCGGAGGCTGAGCGGAGCCATTGCCACAGGGGCCCCATGGCCTGCCAAGCCTAAGGTAGTTACTCTCTGGTCCTTTATAGAAAAGTGTGCCAGCGCCCGCCGTAGATGATCAGAGGCGTGTGTGTGCGCCTGTGTGTGTCCCCACCCCGGAAGTGTCAAGGATCACTTCTTTAGGCAGCAGCGATAGCAGGGGTATCCTTGCTAGTAAGTGGATCAGTTCTGTGATGTTCTTGCTCATAAAGCCGATTCAGTGACTTTGACTTCATTCACTCTTAGAAAGCTGACCAACTGAGCAAGCCCACTGACCTGTATGATTTTTCTGCTCATTCTGATGTCTCAAGCGTGGGCAGGATGAGTGAAAATGAGAAAGATGAAGAACCTTATGAATGCTTTGGTTAGTATTTCTTTTTCTTTTTTTAAAAAAATATGTCTTTATTGATTTCAGAGAGAGGAAGGGAAAGGGAGGGAAGGAGAGATAGAAACAATGGTGAGAGAGTCATTGATCAGCTGCCTCCTGCACACCCCCTGCTGGAGATCGAGCCCACATCTCAGGTATGTGTCCTGACCAGGAATTGAACCACGATCTCCTGGATCATAGGTTGATGCTTAATCGCTGAGCCACACTGGCTGGGCAACTGGCATAAAATTTAAGAGAATTTTGAAAAAAACCCTCTCACATATTTTTAATTTGGTATCAGTATTTTTCATTCTAATTTTCTGTTAATAAAGGATAATATTGTTCATTTTATAAGATGAAAGTAATCATTACCAGAACACATCTTGTATTATGACTTGATAGAGATGTTTTACTTGCCTAAAAATCTGAATGTAAAAGACATGAATCTAAAAGAAATCACATAATTTAAAAAATTAAGATGTAATTCACTTACCCTAAAATTCACCCTTTCAACAAGTGCAATTAAGTGGTGTTTTAGTGTAGTCACAAAATTATACAGCTGTCGGGTGATTACTTCATAAATTAAATGTCTAATCACTGTTATACACTTGGAACTAATATTGTTTGTCAGCTGTAATTGAAATATTTTTTAAAATTGTACAACTCACCATTATTCTAGAACATTTTAATCACCCTACAAAGAAACTCCATACACATTAGTAGTCATTCCCTATTCCTTCTTCCTCCCAGCCCCCGGCAGCCATAAATCTACTTCTTGTCTCTGGACTTGTCCATTCGTACAAATCCAATCATACATACTACATGGTCATTTGTGGCTGGCTTCTTTCACTTAGTGAAGTGTTTCCAAGGTTCACCTGTGTCGTAGCGAGTATCAATGTGCCATCCCTAGGAATGTTTAATCCGTTGTTTGGAGGTACCTCATTTTGTTGGCCATTCATCAGTTTTCACTTTTTGGCCATTATGAGTTATTCTGTGAACATTCATGGACAGGTTTTTTATGGACATGTTTTTGTTTCTCTTGGATGTTCACCGGAGGGGAATTGCTAAGTCATACGGTAATTCTGCTTCAGCCTTTGGAGCAGCCGTCTTACAGAGCAGCTGTCCCACATTCCATCCCCCAGCAGTGTCCGAGGCTCCAGCTTCTCCACATCCTCACTAACACTTGTGTTTATCTGACTACTGTATTCTAGCCACCCTGCTGGGTGCAAAGTAGTATCTTATTGTGTTTGTGTGATAAAATATATACATAACATAAAATTTACCATTTTAACCCTTTTTAAGTGTACAGGTCTGCGGCATTAAGAGTGGTCACTCTGTCATGCCACATCATCACCCTCTGTCTGCACAACTTCATAGTCCCCCAGCTGACACTCCCCGCCCATTAAGAGCAGTTCCCTTCCTCCCCACCCCCCAGCCCAGCTTTTTGTTTCTGCAAACGTGACTGTACATACCTCACATGGGAGGAATCTTACAGTATTTCGCCTTTTGTGCCCTTTTTTTCACTTAACTTGTTTTCAAGTTTCATCCACATTGTAGCACGTGTCAGAATTTTCTCTTAAAGCTGGATAATCCTTCATCCTATATGTATGTTTACCTATTCATCTGTCCATGGGCTTTTGGGTTTCTCTTACCCTTTGACTACTGTGACTAGTACAGATACCTGTTCGAGTTCCTGCTTTCACTTCTTTTGGGTATAAACCCAGGGGTGGAACACATGGTGATTTTTGTGTTCAGGTGTTGAGGACTCACCATGCCATTTTCCACAGTCACAGTGGCTGTGCCATTTTACATTCCCACTGGCAGTGAACACAGGTTTCAGTTTCTGTGCATCCTCACTTGTTTTCTCTCTTGATGGTAGCCATCCTCATGGCTGGGAAATAGCCTCTCACTGTGGTTTTGAGTTGTATTTCCCTAGTGACCAATGATGTTGGGCATAGTTTCCTTTGCTCATTGGCCATCTATAGATCCTCTCTGAAGACGTGTCCCTTCCTGTCCTTTACCCAGCTTTAAATTGGATTATCTTTTTGTTGTTGAGTTCTAAGAGCCCAGTTTGTATGACTGGTTACATATGGAGACTCAGGATTAATCTGTTTCTCTTTTTTCCTTGTTATCCCCAGTAGTATAAATAGCTCCCTTTGGGTAGTTGAGGGCAATACATAGTATATTACTAACTTTAGAATTGTGCAGTTGATACGATTGTTATTTAAGCAGCTGTTTATTTCAGAATAGGTGTTACATTTGCAGCCATGCTAAAATTTGAGGGTGTAGAAATGGTTGTTTGGCTCTCCTCCTGCACCCCCTGCCTCCATTCAGCTCCACCACTGCTGGCCACCTACCTTCCTTCCCCCAAGTTCTCCGCTGTCCTTAAGCCCGCCCAGCGAGATCTCTCTGGGTAGTCCTCCTTCCTGAGCAGGCAGGAGCGCCCCTCCTCCCAGAATCTCCTTTCTGTGCCTTTCCGCCAAGGCCGCTCGGTCTCCTCTTATCTTCTTTTTTATTCAGGTTAACTTCTTATGCTGGCTAAAGGCTCTAGCAGTGCAGAGTCCAGTAGAGAGCACGGGAGTGCGGGAGGACTGGAGTCCCTCTCCAGTGGGCCATTCATGCACAAATACTCACATATACTCGAGTACCCTGAGCTGGGCACTTCGCCAGGCAGTGGAATTGCAAGTGCGTGGAGCACTTCAGCCCTGGTGTTGATAATTCATGCAGTGAGCTGATGCTCCGTCAGGGCACGAAGGGGAATGTCAGGCTCCCTGTTTGTAGTTACCTTTTATCTCTGAAACATTTCATGTAAGGACAGTAACACAGGTGATAATTGATAAATATCCACTGATGGCTAATCTATTTGTATTTATTAATGAAATTGTTTAAATTTTTCATTGTTGAGGTGTGAGATCAAAAACACGTGGTAAGTAGGTTGTGTAACTGATTTTGATTTTGTTAGCCATTTAAACAAAGGAACAACCTTAAACCTCCTTTGTAAAGGAACAACCTTAAACCTGCCCAGGCCAACTTTTAAAGCTGCACTTTTAAAAAAATCTCTTATAGAGCCCCCTCTGCACAGCACTGCTATATACGCTGATGAAGCTGAGCTCTCCAAACACTGTGGATCATCTGTCCCTTCCACTCCGCAAGGAGAGGAAGCAAAAAGAAGGTACGCTCATATTTCAAGCACTTGCTTATTTTATTCATGGGATCCTAGGCGTGACCCTGCCACGTGATGGGCACTCAGTGGCTGTTTGAATTCGTCCTTCATTCATGCAGCGCCGTGGTTAAGGTGATTGGGCCTCAGCCCCTTGTGCTGGTTCAAATCCTTATTCTGCCCCTGCTGAGTCCTTGACCCTGGGCCAGACACTGCGTAAGACTTACCTTCTAGGCTCCTTCACCTGGAAGACGGGCTAATACAAACTGCCTTACATGCTTGTTTTAAGGTGAGTTTACCCTCCCAGGCTTTTGAAGCAGGTTGGCATATCGTAAACTTTGAAATGGTAGTTTTTTATTACTGGTATTTTTTCAACAAGCATGTATTGGGCACTGACTAGGTACCAGGCCCTGTGTTAATAACCCAAAGTGGACATAAGCCTGTCTTCGCGGAGCTCACGGAGCAGGAGATACCAACGAGGAATCGCTGGCAGATCTCGTGGGAAGGGCGCGGCTGAGTTGCGGTTAGGTTGGTGAGGGTGGGGAGAGGAGCATTCCGCACATGAAGGTGGTCCTGATGGCGCTGCGGCTCAGGCTGTTGGGCAGCTGCGGGAGGCTGTGGGCCACTTCCCAGTGCCACCCCTTGACCTCTCCCCAGCGCCGCCTTCTCCGTGCAGCTTGTTCTCCCTACTCCGTTGTGTCAGGCGCCTCGAACATGCATGTTTCACACCACCACGCTTTACATTCACGTTTCCTCCTTCCTTAAATACCCTTCCCTTTATTTCTGTGCCTGGAAAAGTATTTTCAAAAGTCCACTCAAGTGTGGCGAGTACCATGTCTTCCCCAGGCCCCCTGCCTTGTACCCGCACCTCGTCCGTCGCTTGCTGAGTGGTCGCTCTGGGTGCCTTTGCCTGTCCCCCTACACAGCGAGCCTCTCATGGCAGACTCTTGATTTGTAAAGGAGGTTCACTCACTGGACTCTGCATTTCGCAGTTGGTGTTAAATGCTTGTATTGAATCGAGTGAAAAAGTGAAAGAATTCACCTATCATCAGAAGTTTAGGCTTTTTCCTTTTCAAAGGACAAAAGGAGTATTTCACCTAGTGATGGGCCCAGAGTATGCACATTTGCTTTCGGTACAAATGATAGACCCGGGAGTGGTAGCTCAGGAGGGTGTAGTTCTCAGACGCGACCACAAGGTGCTGCAGTGATGGGACATGTAACAGCACTTGCCTGCCCAAGATAAACTCATGTGGCCTGGGTGTGGAGTGATGGGGCGGGTGGCCGGTGAATCTGGGAAGGTGGCAGCCCCACCCATGACAGGTGGGAAACCTCATTAAGTTGAGTTTATTTTTCTGGTGGGCGAGCAACTTAGAGAAGACTTGTGAATACAAATGAAATGTGTGCAGGATATTGATGGCTGCTTCTCTGGTACAGTTCGAACACTTACGAAATTGAAGAAAGTGAAAACGAGTCTGTAGGAAGGAGTGCAAGAAAGGTATGTAGGAGTGCTCTCTCTTCTACCTTAATTTGTAAGATATAAGTTCATATCGTACTTTGTTTAGATGGCAACATAGAAAATGTTCCATACTGTATTTCACATCCTGTTTAGATTGGATGCAGAAAGAAAAAGTTTTGTAGCAGCATTTTTCATAGAGAAAGTATTATGTTTCAGGAGGTACTTTTTAAATTAAAAAGTGGAATATTTTTGTATCTGAAGTGTTTTTCATTACAGAGGTCTCATATCTCTGTACCTTGTCAATTTTAACATTCATGTAATGTGTTTAGGTTGTGATTTACAAAGGCAGACTGATGTATTGAAAATATTCATTTGGAGCTTTCTTTAATCTAGGCTCCTGTCCTATCCACTAATCATGTTGTCATCTCCCTATTATGTTCCATCTTGAAGTTTAATAATGAGAAGTGTGGACTTTGTGGTTAGCTAGTACTGTAAGAATGATAAGCATTTGTATTTTCTAAACCAGTGATGCTGTTTTCTTCACATAGCGAGGAAGAAAACTCAGGCCCGTTAGTGATGAATCTGAGAGCTGTAACGAAAGGGATGTGATGAAAGAAGGTAAACCAACAGAGAAAATAAGTAGCCAACAGCAGGAAGCTACCTTATCTTCAGAACTTTCGGATGAATCAGCTGAACCTGGCACTCCTAAAAAGACAGGGCCTCTCAGTGCCAAATTCTCTGTTGAAAAAGAGACCCGGGCAGCAGAAAGTCGGCTGGTAAGAGAGTGTCTACACCCCCTTGGCAAGAAAAAATGTTTAGGAGGAAAATAAAACATTTTTTTTTCCCTTCCAGTTTTTTAAAGAGACTTTTTATATCTTTTATTATAAAAATATTTTTATTTTAGAGTATAGGTATGGAAAGGAAGATAACATTTCCTACAATTCATCACCCAAATTCGGTCTTCAGTTCTTTTACTGGGCTTTTCTGTTCCTAAGTGGGACCAGCACCATTTAGTATTGTAGAATATCATTTTAATGAATGCATGACATTTCATTCATGATCGTGCCATAGTTAAGTCACACTCTTACTTGTGAATGGTTGCATTTAAAAATTTTAAGTGCTTTAATGAATTTCTAGCGAAATCTTTGTGTGCACCTTGATCGTTTAGGGAAAAAAATTGCTACGATAAGATTTCTGGGTCATATGTGTTCTGTTTTAAGATTCTTGACATATAATGTCTTTTGATCAAGCTCTTAATATGTCTTCACCAGCACCTTGATTTTGGCCCATTGAAGCTGATTTCGGACTCTGACCTCCAGAGCTGTTGGAGAATACATTTCTGTTGTTTGAAGGCACCAAGTTGTAGTAATTTACTACAGCAGCCACAGGAAACTAAAACACCTTCCAAGGACTTCTGTTTAGTTATGTGCTTTTTGGTTTTAGAGTTTCTAGGATTTCTTTTTTTTTTTTGTTTTGTATGTAGTTTCTACTGAGATTTCCTATCATCAAGACCACATTTCCTTGACTTACTTCCTTGGACACACTTATGACAGCTGCTTGTGTTCATTTCCTAGATCAGATATCTGGGCTATCGGGTCAGTTTTGTTTCCTGTCTTGCCCGTGAGTCACGTTTTTTGTGTAGCATTTTAAATCTTGTACTTTCTAATTTTTATTGGACATTGTTGTTGATAGGCTATGGGACTCTGAGTTCTGTTAACTTCGAGTAATGTTGGCTTTTGTTTTGGTAGGTTGCTTGATCTTTGGCTGGGCGTTGGACTTTGCGGGCTTGATTTATCCTTTGATACAGCCAGTCTTCGAAAAGCCTAATGTGTTTTTCAGGCTTCTGTAGCTTAGCAGGACTCAGTCTCTGTGTTAGTTTTCAACTGCTGCATAACAAATTACCACAAACTGTGTGACTTAAAACAACGTGCATGGTTTCCGTAGGTCAGAGGTCCAGGGCCCCTCAGCTGCATTCTCCACCCAGGGCTTCACAAGGCTGGACTCTTCGCCTGAGACTCAGGGTCTCGTCTAGGATCATTCAGGTTGTTAGCAGAATTCGATTCCTTGCTCTTGTAGGCCTGAGGGTCTTGTTTTCTCTCTGGCTGAAGCTGGGGGTCACTCTCAGCACCTGTAGGTTGCCCTTTGGGCCTAGTCATGTGGCCACTGTGTCCTCAAAGCCAGCCAGAGGCTCCATGTGGCTCCAGTGGAGTCTTATATAATGTAACCTAGTCAAGGCAGCTGTTACCCCATCGTGTTCACAGGCGTCACCACACTCAAGGGGGAGTCTTACAAGTCATCGGGATCATCCTGGAATCCTGTACCCCAACCTCAGGTCCCTGTCTCCCAGTGACTCTGCTCAGGGATTGGTTTTAGGCTGTTAGGATGGGTCTTGAGTAGGCCTTAGTCTAGTGCAGCGTTTCTCAACCCTTTGTTATTTTTGTCCCCCTTAAGAAGCCTTTTTAGACTTTTTTTCTCCTTATTACACCCCCCTATACACACACACAATTAAATTTTAATACCACAAGTATACTGCATACTGTTCACGTACATTACATGGATCCTTTGGAGGTTTACAAACCATTGTAATATCTAAGTTTTTTAATTTTTTGCATCCCCCTTTAAGAATCAGTTTTTGCCCGTTGGGAACAGTAATCCCTGTTTGAGATTGCGTGCTCTCGGGTGCGGTTCCCACCCAGAAGTAAGCTGTGGTCTTCCTGCTAGCTCAGCTGCATGAACAGATGTTCACTAGTTTTAATGAGGTTTGTGCATTTTCTGCATCTGATTTTCCCCGCATGCTTGTCCTCTGTTACCTGTGATGCTCTTAACCCGTGACAGCCACTCTCTAGTGAGCTATGTAGTCTCTGCACGTGGAGTGCTCGCCAGGGGCTTGCGGAGACGCACCTGGACTCCTGTGGCTCCTCTGAGCAGCTGATTCTGCCTCCTCGGCAGCTCGGATGACGCCCTTGCTCTGCTTGGACTGGCTGCTGTCTGGATGTTGTCCCCTGGCATGGGGTGGGGTGGGGACATTCATGGGGTCCACTTTCTGAGTTGCCTCGTCTTGGTTTGCCTATTGTCCAGTGCCTAAGTACAGTTGCCACCCCCACCCCCATTTTATAGTTGTTTTTGGCAAGAAGCTGTTACTCCATCATAACTGGGAAACTGAGCCGATTCCACACCTTATCTTAAACACCGAAAGTTCAGCTTCCTCCATGCAGCCATTGTTAAATACCAGCTGAAAGGTGGTTTCTGTGGGGGCACAGTTTAATTTTTGTGTGTTTCCTTAGATCAATTTAGATAATTTGTAGAATTAACTAATATAGTAACTTAGAAGTAAATAAGAATTGTAGCTAAAGTAGTAACTGACACTGTTTGATAAACTGTCTTAATCCTTTTAAGAAGAAGAAAGCATTTGTGATCTTGCTTCCCAGCAATTGTCCTGAGCTTGGCTCAGATAAATTCTTATAACCGCACCTCCCCCCTTGCCTG